CTGCAATCAATAGAATAATGTTTTACTTTCCATTGATAAAAACATGTGCAATCAATAAAATAATGTTTTACTTTCCATTGATAAAAACATGTGCAATCAATAGAATAATGTTTTACTCTCCATTGATAAAAACATGTGCAATCAATAAAATAATGTTTACTTTCCATTGATAAAAACATGTGCAATCAATAAAATAATGTTTTACTTTCCATTGATAAAAACATGTGCAATTAATAGAATAATGTTTTACTTTCCATTGATAAAAACATCTGCAATTAATAGAATAATGTTTTACTTTCCATTGATAAAAACATCTGCAATCAATAAAATAATGTTTTACTTTCCATTGATAAAAACATCTGCAATCAATAAAATAATGTTTTACTTTCCATTGATAAAACATGTGCAATAATGAATATTGAGTAAAAAAATGAAATATCAAAATTTGCTTGCCTTGATAATATATTTTAAATGTTAACCGTAAAAAGAATTATATGAATTAACTATTAAGAACAAAGTAGTTTGAACTATGTCATAATTTGTTTTTGTATTACCTGTGATATTAAACATAATTTGTAATGGAATCATTTTATTTTTCTTATAACTGTGCTTATGTTTCTTTGTGTATTTTGTTTGTAGTTTTTAATTATAGAAACTGATTAAATGTGACCGAGGTTGAACAACAATGACATTATACTTACGCTTGGACACGTGACATTTTAGATTTTCAAATGTCAAATGGCTAAATTACACCATGGAATTAAAAATTATATTTAATTCTCTCAGAACTAAAATAACAGTGTTTGTGAATTCTCTGGATTTTCTCTGGTACTCGTAGTTACCTACGACCAAATTTTGATCAATTTTTTTTCCAGTTTGATCCTTGTAACTTCAGCGCAAGTGTAATTTTTATCGATTTTAAGCAATCGTCGTTTCTCAAATTCGATTGTCGTGGTGTGATATAATAGTCTATATCTCTGCTTTGAGATATCAGAGACTAGTGATCTAAACCCGAAACTAAATATATTCTTCTATTGTTTTCAACTGTTTTGGTCCAACTTGACTTCTAGTTCAGCGGAAAATTTCATGGAGATCGGAACATGGCGATAAGATATCAGATTATTGATATACTGCTAGAAGAACAGATGTTTGTAAACAGCTTCTGCAGAAATTACAGTTCTTAAAGCTTGCATTATCATTTTACACATCATATGACTTGCGATATTGCAATATGATAGGAATTTTGTTTTCATTGTGGAACAAGACACGGTTGAGAATTTCTATGCTTGGTTAGATCGTTTTGTGCTCGATAGTACCAATTATCGTTTGACCGACAAGGTCAGTGTTTAGCTTGATTTTCGTTTTTATTGGTGTAAAGCATGAAGTTACATAACGGGCTATCCGTGCTCTGCCCATTGCGGATGATATCGAAACATAATTTTTAGCGATATAAGTTGGCTGATTTATTTTTGAACCACAAGGGGGCTTTATTTGGTTTGGTTGTTGCAAAGCGCAAAGCTTCACAACGGGATATCTGTTTTTACCAACCACAGGTATCGAAACCCAATTTTCAGCGTCGTAAGCCAGGGGACGTACCACTGACTACTGGGGGCGCCACTTTTTGTTAGAATATGTTTTCACTAGACCTTATATTATCGTCATTGCTTGAATGGGCGAAGAAAATAACCGAAAAGAAATGGCTTAAAACTTACTAAAATATTACATTAAACCTTCTGATTAACAATTAAAAAGTTGGCTTGCTTTTGATTTTGTTTTGGTTAAAAAATGACTTTCATTGTACGCCAGTGATAGAAAATACAGTAAAAGTGCGTACAGTGTTATTCAAACCAATATAAATATAAAATATAAAGTAAATATATTTATAAAATTTACAGTTTCATAAAGCTTTACTCAAATGTAGAAAAAATTAATAAAAACAACTAATTGAAATATACAGCACAAGTAAGCTTTTTAAATTGTTTCTTAAAATCATTTCACAAAGAAATATTTTCGAATTTCCAAAGCTAAAAATTCGTACAAATACCAGATTTGAAAGTAAGATATCTTATCTCGCAGAAGCTACATGATTTATAGAAAGTTCATTTGATTGTCTTAAAAACTATTTCATCCGATAGTTCATTTTTTGTTTCCTTTTTGAATCGCAATACAACAAATATATAAGATAGGTGCATCTCGAGTTGGCATCCAAGGAAGTCCTATAGGTGTTCAAAAGTATTTAAATGGACTTCCTGATGGCTAATAAAGCAATTCTATCAAGCTGTGAGGAATTGTGCAGTCAACTGCAGGACTAGACCATGTTTATTGACTTTATTTCCGACTCATGAAGTCTGTTTCTTACTGTTTGGTTACTCATAATTACTTCAGTTACAGTCCTAAAGTCTATGCTGGTTCGTGGAAGATACATAGGCAGTTTTTCATAGCCATGTTGTGCGGATAGTGGTACGTCAGGTTGTACAGTTGATTTCACCATCATATGTCCATGTGTATAGCATACTGGCCGGTTATCTGTAACCTTCTGGACATGCCGAAATGAGCAGTAACTTGTCTCCGCGCTTGTTCAGTTTCATCATTTGACTAAAAATACTTTGCCCCCCCCCCTTACCACTAGCAAATAAGATTGTTATTAAACAATTGTATTGAAGTAATAACTAAAACTGAAAATTAAAATGATCGCTAAAAATTGGCAAATGGTAAAAACCTATTTTGGTGAAATATAAACGTATTATTTATTGATTTTACTTTTCTTAGTTATTGATAATATTTATGAACCACATGAAAACAAAGACAAAATGAAAAATATAACTTACTGAAATGTATACACATGTAACATTATATACCGACTAGCCCAAAAGCTAGTTCTGATTGGATAACGTGATTTCCACCAGCAAAACCTCTTGATCTTTTGTTTGTGTGTATGTGTGCCATATTTATTTACTGTTTCACATATATTCGTATATTAATATGAAGTAGACCAGGCATAAGAAGAATTAATACATTTTTATAGTGCCACTAGCGTTTTGGATCACACTGACTTTCGCATATTTCTTTAAATCACCGCAAGAGTAATTCTGTATTTGCGCACCAGGAGGCTTACGACGCTAAGTGTTATAAATGTCGAAACATATCTCGGATTTCTGGAAATTTTATACTGAATTAAGCAAACTAAAGACGTTCGATAAAGCTACATCTTTATCATCATTAAACTCCTAATTAATAAGGACACAATTTCTAGGCTTACTGGATTTCATTAATTGTTTTTTTTTTCAATCACTTTTGCCGTTCTAATTGCTTCCTACATGTCATGATTATGTTAATTTTAGATATGCTTGTGTATAGCGTGGTAGCTTATTCTATATGGTTTTTCCAAACGGAGGTGATTTAATTGAATTGCTGTTGAAAGACCTTGGAAACGCCATTGCGGCAAATATATCTTATTTTTTCATTAAAAGGCTAGAATTCCAAGTTCATTATTATCAACGAACATGTCAATTTTTCGTATATCTAATTAAATTTCAATGAAAATCAGACAGAAACTATCTATTAAAAACACACACACACACACACACGTCAGATCTGCATAATCGTTTAGGAAGTTATTTCTACTTATTTAGTTCTATGCGAAACAACACTAAGAAATATAAGTTGTGAAAATAAATAAACCACCCGTCAATAATTTCAACTATTTTGTGCATTATTATTATCCATGAATAAAAGAAGAGAGGATGTCTTTATGTGTATGTGTGTGTTTTGTTTTTCTTATTTAACTTCATATGACAATTTAATACGTGTCTGTTTTAGTCTCGTTTTTATTACGTATATAATTTTTAAAATAAAACCTAAAATATTACTGATGAAATACCAGCTTTTCGATCGATCAAGAGCTACGTTAAACATCCACTAGATGGCAAAACAAGCTGGTAAATTCCTACTTGTGATTGGACAAAAAT